TTTTTATTTTTTGGCTGTGCCACACAGTATATGGGATCTTAGTTCCCTGACCAGGAATCAAACCCTTGCCCCCTACACTGGAAGCACAGAATCTTAACCACTAGACCACCAGGGAATTTCAATTAACTGTATCTTAATGTGATGTCTACTTTGTTTTAAAAAAAAAAATCTTCTTCTTAATTGTATATTGATATTAAATTACATTTTCCAGTATCTCTCAGAAATAAACTGTTAGCTGAAAATAAAATTCATTTTTAACACTAGTTATTTGTAAAAACATGTTCACTGTGTTTTCAAGCACCCTTTGCAGGTTTTGTGGGACATGTCATGTAGGGTATGTGTAGTAATTTGAAGGGTTAAAATACCCTGCACTGTCGCATATGGCAGTGAGCAGAATCGCAGATGTTGATGATACCACGTAATTAGTATTCTTTTATGTAAATGAAGGCTGTCAGCATGTTACCATAGTGTCTACTCTCTCTGAAGCTGGAATTTATGCCACTTGGTCTCACCAAGACCAGGCAGGATTTTTCCACTATCCATAGTTAAGAACTGAGAAGAAATCAAAACGATGAGAGAGAAGAAATGGAAATCTCTTTAAAGTGGATTCTTTTAAATTTTTCCTATTTTATTTTTGTTGATTTTCTCCCAGAAATTTTAAGATGCTGTTATCCATTTCAGATTGGCTAAGAAATCTGCTAATTGAGAACAGGAATGTTCCAATTTAAAAAATCGTATTTTCAAGCTATAGATTTTTGAAAGATTTTGTAACGTTCAGTCATCTCTCTGAAATGGGGACCTTTTAAAAATCTAGAAGTTTCTCATCAGAACAAAAGGCTCACACTGAATAGATTTCATTAGCTTCTTTCACTATTTGGTGACATTAACTATAGTAGAATCCTTTAAATATGAATTATGGTTTTTAGCTCGAGCTGATTCAGATTTTTAAATATAAAGCTATAGTACTTGAAGAAGCAAAAGCCAGTATTTTGTCACGTTTGCTTTCCCTGTATGCAGATCAATCCAAGGTGTCCTGGACATTTATTTACAGTTACTGATCTACTTAATGATGGAGAACTATTAAGGCACATCTTGTTAATTCCCAGTTACACTGGGAAACTGGGTGCCTGCACACTGGATGATATATTTTTTAATTGGAAATGTCAGGACTTTTATGACCTTCAGTGATTATGAAGGAAAAGGGGTACATGTCAGAAAAATGTAAAAGAGATTTCCTCTTTGTGCCTATGAGCATGAGGCCTTGTTCCTAAAGTGGTCGGAGGTTGTATGAGGGGTGAGTGAAGCACATGGTCTTCCTTTTGGTGTTTTTTTTGTTTTGTTTTTTGTATGCTGCAAACATTTTAATGATTATTGTTGAGCATACATTTTGGAAATTTTTTTACTTTAAACTGCAACAAATTAAATAAATGTTTATAATATACAAAGAAAATACAACCAAAATTTTCTGAACTGAGTATACCCAAGATTGTGTTCTCTTTATTCTCTATTGTGTATTGGCTTTTGTGTCACTTTTGAGTGATTTCCATTTCATGCCTCAGATATGTCTTTCCTCTAGAGAAGCTAGTCTGCTTAGGTTAAATCAGTGTAGTGAAGTACGGAGTAGCCTCGTGTCTTCCTGAATGGATTTACTCTGCCATATGGCAGGTTAGTGAATCGCCACGACAGATTTGTAACAGGAAAAAGGCTGTGCAGGAAAGGATGTGCGTGCTCAGCAGATTTATGGATCAGAAAATGAAATCGGAAGAAAGAATTTCCAGAGTGCCCTTTCCATTTGACAGCATTCCATTCAGAGGGTGTGGAATGGTTTAGTGTTTTTCTTTTTTTTTTTTTTTTCTGTTGTTGTTGTTCCAACATGTTTTGTTTTGTTTTTTGTCTTTCTAGACAGAAGCTGATTTTTTAAGGTACCAGTGTTCTGGGTGTTGTGTTGCTGTATTCCTGTTCACAGATATACTTTCTTTTTATAGAATTTGAAGCTGTGCTGTGTTTCATGTGATAAGATCTCAGTAGCAATTAAATTTCTAAAGACACATCAAGGTTCCTCTTGGCTAAAGTGGGGATTTGCCAGGTTTTGAGTTATAAGAAGAGGCCATTCAAAAAACAAAAAAGAAGAGGCTATTCAGACATGATTCAGTGAGTACAGAATCTTCTGGAGGGAGAAAACAGAAAAGCCAAGTGAGCTAAAGATAGTATGTCCTGGTGTATTTAAAGTTTTGCTATCTAATACATGTGGCTGTTTAAATTAAAATTAATTAAAAGTAAGCCCCTCTGTCTCACTGGCCACATTTCAGGTGCTGAGGAGACACATATGACAGTAGTGCAGTATTGGGCAATGCAGATAAAGAATGTTTCCATCATCGCAGAAAGTTCTATTGGACATTTGTCTAAGTGAAAGATCTTGGGAAATAAAATTCTTTCTTTGATTTCTATGAGGTGTTCTTCATCGCCAGATAATTTCCTGGATTACATTCTAAGGTTTTAATGTAAAAATGAATCACCTGTAGAGCTTGTGAAAAATGGAGATTTTAGATCCCTCCCCAAGCCATCAAGTTTGGGGTCATCACCAGAAATCTGTACATATGACAAGTATCCTAAGGAATTTTGTTGCTGGTAGGTGGTTCAGCAACTACGTTTTGAAAAATACCAAGTTAATGACAAACTTGGGGGTTACCAGTCTTTTGACTTCCCCTTTTCATTCTTCTTCTTTTGTGTCCCAGTAATTGGTTGTAAGCATCATGTGTATTCAACTTAAACTCTTGATTGGTAATAAGTAGCAAAAAGAAAATTCATTTTTATTGACCATCTTATCTTTATAATGTCTTTTTTAATTTGACTATGCCCTACAAAAAGTAAACAAATGGTTATTTCAGTACTGTTCTGGGCTATGTGGAGAAGTAATTCTGACAGAATACCTTTGACTACTAAAGAGGTGAGCACACCACAGGTCTTGAAATTATAAAGGTTAAAGAAGAAAAGAAATATAACATTTGATCTCCTTTCTGAAGGAGGTTATATCTAGTTATATGGAGAAATACATCCACAGACACGACTTAAAGGGCACTTAGCAACAAGTCAATAGTTAGAAAAATAATATAGCAGAAACTAAATCCTGACAGTACTCAAAGGATGATCTGATTTGATGGAAGATAATCTCAGTTAGTTTCCTTTGTATGATGATTTAAGGATTTCTTATATAGGAATGGGCTGGAATGGGCAATTTAAAAATGAGAAAGGTCTCTGGTTGGTCCTGTGCTCTATTTGTGAGTTTCAGCCATAGGGCCAAGTCAGAAAGGAAAACCAACTGAAGGAACTACTTAGAATGCTTTGGATTTAGAACTTCTCTTGGGTGACCCCATCGTGATAGAACTGTATTTGCTCCCAGAAATGAGAGTGGACAAGAAATGAGGTGAAGGAAGTCTACTTTATAAGAGGAACTCCCTTCAGGGAATTTTAAATGCTGGTATTGCAGGGAGGTCAGCTTTTCAAAGAATAAAAGGTTTTCTTTTAAAATAGCCTCTTTCCCTTGAAGAAATTGCTTATTAGGCTTCTCTGATGAACAATACTGAAGAAGCAATGTTAGAAAGACCAAAAAAAAAAAAAAATGCTTAGTGAGTTACCACTGTTTTAAAAATAAAAAGCATTTTTGCATACATTATCTGGAAAGTTTGCTCTTTTTTTTTTTTTGGTCTCATAGTTTGGTTAAATACTGTAATAACCAGTAGCCACTATACCACTAAGTCAGATTTGTCTAGTTTAGAGTTACTTATTCTTTCAGTAAGGAAGGTAAATGTTTTCCCATCCTTTTTACAAGATGTAAATGTTCTTAACAAACACACTTTGGCTTAGTCTCTCAGAGTTACTGTAACAAAAATACCATAGACTGGGTGGCTTATACATAACAGTTCTGAAGGCTGGGAAAGCCACGATCATGGCACCAGATTCCATATCTGGTAAAGACTAATTGGTTCACAGACATATGGCTGGCTTTTCACCTGTCTTATCACATGGAGGAAGGGGTGAGGGAGCTCTTTTTAGAAGCACTAATCCCATTCTTGAAGGCTCATCCCATGAGGGTCAACCCACTCATGACTTAAGCATCTTCCAAAGGCATCACCTCCTAATACCATCACCTGGGGGAAGGGGGTTTAAGATTTTAGGATATGAAATGAGGCACAAACTTATAGACCACAGAAGACAAATAAAATGTTAGATTGAGGCTCAGTCTACCTACTTAGCCAGGATCTTTGGACACAAGAAAATAAAATTACTTTGTACTGCAAAGGACTTTCTCTTTCTTACCATTTCTCTTGTTCTCTTTAACCATATTTTGTTATCTTTACTTTGAAATACAGTGAAATTGACCTAAGATTGCCTTTTTATTTGAGTGTCTTCATCTCTTGGGGTTTGTGATGAGGTCCCAGCGTCATCATCTGGCATCACTGGTTTGTGAGCTCTCTGTCTCTCCTCGCCTTTCCTCTGCCCTGTCCCTTTTTGCATACAGCGAGGACCTTGTCACCATGAGTCAGAGAGACTTTCACTTCCAGGACATCATCAATTCAGAGATGGCTCAGAATATGGGCTGCTTTCCCCTAGTGGGCAGTTGGGTGCAACGTGAAATGAGGGTAATGACATTTCTAAATCAGCCTTACGTAGCTGATACTCAAGAACTAAAACAGCCTTAGAAAATGTAAAATTACATAGTAGTGGTAAGGTCTGTCATTTAGTGTTTTATGATTCTTCCTTTTTTTAAGGAATTTAACTGTCTGTAATTCCCGGGCTATGCCGAAATTGCCCTTTCCTTTTATAAAACTTCCTTCCAAAGGAACCAATTTTGAATGGAAAACTAACGAATACTGAGTGGAAAATGCCGGTTGCAAGCCTTTTTCTAGAAAAATATTTTGCTGAAAGTTTTCTCTCTTTCTCTCTCTCTCTCTGGGGGCCCTTATCGTGCCAGGTTGAAAGAGTGGAGCCTTCCCTAAGACATGGATAGATGCAAACATGTAGGGCGGTTGCGGCTCGCCCAGGACCACTCCATCCTGAACCCGCAGAAGTGGTACTGCCGGGAGTGCGCCACCACCGAGTCGGTGTGGGCTTGTCTCAAGTGCTCGCACGTGGCCTGCGGCCGCTACATCGAAGATCACGCCCTCAAACACTTCGAAGAGACCGGACACCCGCTAGCCATGGAGGTCCGGGATCTCTACGTGTTCTGCTACCTGTGCAAGGACTACGTGCTCAACGACAACCCGGAGGGGGACCTGAAGCTGCTGAGAAGCTCCCTCCTGGCGGTCAGGGGCCAGACGCAGGACCCGCCGCTGAGGCGCGGGCGGACGCTGCGGTCCATGGCGGCGGGCGAGGACGCCGTCCCGCCGCAGCGCGCTCCTCAGGGACAGCCGCAGATGCTCACGGCTCTGTGGTACCGGCGCCAGCGCCTGCTGGCAAGGACGCTGCGGCTCTGGTTCGAGAAGACCTCGCGGGGCCAGGCCAAGATGGAGCAGCGGCGGCGGGAAGAGGCGCTGGAGCGCAAGAAGGAGGCGGCGCGGCAGCGGCGGCGCGAGGTGAAGCGACGGCTGCTGGAGGAGCTGGCCAGCGCCCCTCCGCGCAAGAGCGCGCGTCTGCTGCTGCACGCGCCCCGCGCCGCCGCGCCGCGCGTGCCCGCCGCGCGCGCCCCCGCCGGGCCCCGCCCCCCGCCGCGCCGCGCGCCCGCCATGGCGCCCGGCGTCACGGGCCTGCGCAACCTGGGCAACACCTGCTACATGAACTCCATCCTGCAGGTGCTCAGCCACCTGCGCAAGTTCCGCGAGTGCTTTCTGAACCTCGACCCGTCCAAGACGGAGCAGCTGTTCCCCAGGGCCGCCAACGGCAAGGCCCCGCTCTCAGGCAGGCCGGCCAGCAGCTCAGCCCCCGAGCTGTCGTCGCCCCGGAGCTACGGGGCCGAGGCCTGCGAGCGCGAGGGCCTCTGCTTGAACGGTGGGACCTCCCTCAGCAGGAGCCTAGAACTCATTCAGAACAAGGAGCCCAGCTCGAAGCACATCTCCCTCTGCCACGAACTGCACACCCTCTTTCGCGTCATGTGGTCGGGGAAGTGGGCCCTGGTGTCGCCCTTCGCCATGCTTCACTCGGTGTGGAGCCTGATCCCCGCCTTCCGAGGCTACGACCAGCAGGACGCGCAGGAGTTTCTCTGCGAGCTTTTGCACAAAGTGCAGCAGGAACTTGAGTCTGAGGGCACGACGCGCCGGATCCTCATCCCCTTCTCCCAGAGGAAGCTCACCAAGCAGGTCTTAAAGGTGGTGAACACCATATTTCACGGACAGCTACTTAGCCAGGTAGGTGTGTGCTCGGCGCAGCCTTGACTGCCCACCACGCTGGAGCGGGGCTGGTATAGTATTAGGCTTCCCGTGAGTGCTTTCCCCAAGTTGTTGGCCCAACGAGGGTACGTTTGCTGTAACTATGCACAGTGGAGGGCGGCCGCGGTGCCTTTCACAGTACTGTGGGGGGGCTTCGTTGGTGGACTTGCCTCCTGTCTTTCCAGGCAGATTTTTAGTTTATCTTGCCAAATCACTTCACTTTCAGGAAATGTCTTTTAACCTATAATCATGATATGGTAATGTAATATTATCATTGTTACAATTAAGTACCCATTGCTGGCATCCCATCCCATTTGATCAGCTTTAGGAAATTGAAGAGTTTGCCTATAATCTTGGTTCCATGGTTGTTTGAAAGGGCATCATTTCTCCTAAAGCCTTTCTTCAACATACAAGGGAGGGAGGTGGCTAGGAAGATGCCGAAGGCCTAAGCAACCCTCCCTCCGGTTCCCCACTACCTTTCGTTTCCTTAGCCATGTAAGGATATGAGGGAAGACTCAGGTAAGGCTTTGTGAGAGCATGCAGAAAGAATTGATAGAGTTAAAAAAGTGGGCAACTTGACAGATTCAGGTAAAACCTCTACACTATGCTACTGAGGTAGTTAGGATTTTAAAAGAATGATGAGTTTATTTCGGAAGAGTTTATTTTGGCTTTTGTTTTTCAGCACGTGAAAAGGGAGTTTTTTCGGCACTTCCTCAACCTCCCTGAGAGTCTGTAGGAAGAAAGGTGCATCTGGGAAGGTTATAGTGGGGGAGGAGGTCAAATCACAAGCTACCTTGAGGCTCTTGGAGCACAGGCATCAGTGTAGGGATGCTGCTGGAAGCAAGGGCAAAAGTAGAGGAAAGCTGGATTGGATGGAAGGAGCAGAGTCTAGAGGAGGATAAGAGTATGAGGATGAGAGAAGCAGACAGGAATCTGCAAATTCTCCATCTCAGACTGCCTTGATGACTCCATGATCGCTTCTATCTGAAATACTGTGGCACTGAGGAAGAGAGAAGGGGGAGTAGGTAATACTATCTGTGCTGTGTGGTTTTCCAGTTCCAGCTAGCATCATAGAGATACATACCAGAAGTAATATGCCCTGATTCTCTTAAAAGTTACATTTACCATTTAAATGCTAAATATTTTTTGAAAACGATACACTAGCTTTGGTTGTTATGTGCTAGCAAACATGAATGTGGGAGCATGGAAGTTGCACAGCCCGTGACCTAACCTTCCGTCCTAGGTCACTTGTGTGTCGTGCGGTTACAAATCCAACACCGTCGAGCCTTTCTGGGATCTGTCGCTGGAGTTCCCTGAGCGCTATCACTGCGCAGAAAAGGGCTTTGTCCCTTTGAACCAGACGGAGTGCCTGCTCACCGAGATGCTGGCCAAGTTCACGGAGACGGAGGCCCTGGAAGGCAGAATCTACGCCTGTGACCAGTGTAACAGTGAGTGCTGGGGGAGGCTGTGGGTAACTAGAACATCAGTTTCAGGTATTTCATTTGCCCTTTTAGTCAAAAATAACACGGAAATATTGAGTGGTTCTAAAGCATCTTTTAAAGATTTTTTTCCTCCTATTTTCCTGAGAAGAAGCATATGGACATTATATATTAAAAGAATAAAACCAAGCCTAGGAGTTGGACCTCCTTGGACTCCTGCTGTGATTGAAGTTAGTTGTTATCTTGGGAGGCATTTGAAAGTATGGACCTTGAAATGGGGACTCCAAGAATGGGAGTATTTAGCTTCGTAGGTTATGGGGGTCCTGCTTAAATTCATGAATAGAGTTTGACAGTTCTTATTTAGTCTAAATTCAGGTGGCATAGCCTGTTTGAGTGCTGTGTATTAGAAAAGTGTGCTTTTATCCTGAATTAAAGTCTGTCAGAAGTGATGCTAAGGGTACAATGAGACCAAGAGAGTAAGTCATATGGTACATTGCTCCATGGCAGCTTCATCATTATTTTCACATGCCTGAAAGATTCACATCTCAGAAGGCGCAGAAGGAAGTATTTCTCTATCATGGCTTTAATTGTAAAGTGGAATTTTTTCTGTATGGTTCTGAGAGCACCTTATGCATCCTCCAACCCTGTGTCTTGCCACATTAACAATGCCTTTGCTAACCCAGCATGTACACAGGAAATGCAGAGCAAATACTTTGAAAAGTAACTGATGTTTGGGGGTTTTGGCATATAGAGATTTGGAAACTAAGATAAATGGATTGTGCAGAGATCTGAGAACAATGTGCAGCCATATTATAGTTCAGACTTCAAGTTTTGGTTTGGGAATAACAATTTTATGGTAGCCCTTGAATATTTTTGCATATGGTTTTTTAAAGTAGTGAATTGTGGAAAACCTGTTCTCTCTGAAGAATCAAGTCAAAAATCAAAAGTCACACCTGATACCATTTTGCCATTTTAAAACAAAATGTGAAATCCTGTACTTGGTTAAGCATAAACTCACCTATCCTGTTACATAGAGATATATAAAGGCAGTGATTTAAATAATCTTATTAGAACAATATGTATTTTTTTTCTTTTTAAAATAGTGAATCATGAAGTTTTATACTTGTAGGGAACAGAAAGATGTTAACAGCCTTAAGTCTATCATTCTCAGACCTGATAGATTAGGCAAGAAACACTTTTATTTATTTTTCCAAGAAAGGATTGTTTTTCTGGTTGCCAGATGTGCCCATTTATCAGTATTTCTGTATACAGGTTCAAATAGCAAGGAAGGAAAGCTATAGTGAAGGGATGAGATGCACTGATCTGTTGCTTGTGAAAGTTTTGAAACTATCAGTCTTTCACCTTTCTGTGTAGCCAGCTTAATCAAATGGGAGACAGAACTGATCAGTCTCAACTGAATCAGTGATTTTTCTTCATGAACTTCATTTTGGAGAAACAAAGCCAGATTCTATATTGTCTTCATTTTAGCTCACATACTCCCTCTGCTGAGAGCAGCAGTCACTGCCAGGATTCCCAGGCAGAGAGATGCAGTAATTTTCAAAAATCTGCTGGTGAACAGGAATGTAAAATAAGGCCAGGCCCCTCTTTGAATTCTCTTTCTGCTCATGCCCTCACATATCATGACTGCCAGCCCTAGTAAAAGCTGCAATCTAGTTGCTGCAATCTGTCATGAGAAGCAACAGCTCCATTGTCAGAGAAAGCTCCTTGATACGTCATCTGCCTGTGATTTGCTACTTTTCACAAGCGGTACAGACAGGACTTCGAATCAGATGCCAGGCTCCTCAGACACTGAGACCATGGTATCAACAGCTCAGAGACAATTCGCAGACACCACAGTGGACCATGAATTTTATATTCCTATCCATTCACTGACTGAATTAATATAAAAGAGCAGTCATCAGTAAATGGTTATAGAGAAGGCTTCTGATGGAAATTAAGAGAACCTCATTTCCGTTTCCATGCTGTAATTTAGAAATGCATTTCACCCACAATTCAGTATCTTTAGAAACAAAATTGGAGTCCTGAGCATTGGTTTTGTTTTGAATGGGGTATATTTAGTCAATTGTCAGCCTTGTTCTGCATGTCTAGCAGTGCTGTTACCAAGAAACATGTTTCAGAAAATAAGTATGGCATAAAAATATAAAACCAGTGAAGTTTATTTTCAGAATATTTGTATAAGCCACAAGCAAGTCATGTGGGGAAAAAAATCTCTTTAAATACACTGTCCTTTAGTAATTCTGTGCCTCTTGCATGCATGCATGCTCAAACGCTAAGTCGTATCTGACTCTTTGTGACCCCATGGACTGCAGCCCACCAGGCTCCTCTGTCCATGGGATTTCCCAGACAGAAATACTAGAATGGGTTGCCATTTCCTCTTCCAGGGTATCTTCCCAACCCAGGGATCGAACCTGCATCTCCTGCCCTGGCAGGCGGATTGTTTAGCACTGGGAAAGCCCCTGTGTCCTCTTACCTTTTCCCTAAACCTGAAATACATGCATTATCCCCCATTTCACAGGAAAGGAAACTGAGATTCCTTTCAAACGGTGGGAAGGACAAAGGATGCACCTTACAACTGCATCAGCCTTCTTTAAGCAGCCATCCCCAGGGTGCCACACAGTCATTTCTTTCATCTCAGCCAAAACTTCCGTGGCCATACCACGTGGGCATGTGAGGCTGGGAAATGCAGTCTTAGAGAGGTTCACATTGCTGCCCAAATAAAACTGAGGTTGAAGTGCTGAGAAACTAGGAGAATGCACATTGGGTGGCAAGTCACTGTCTCTGCACAGCTCGGGAAGAACGAGTCTCCTCACGATCCATGTCTTATACCTTCCCAAACCATCTAGGCAAACGACGAAAATCCAATCCAAAACCCCTTGTTCTGAGTGAAGCTAGAAAGCAGTTAATGATCTACAGACTACCTCAGGTCCTCCGGCTGCATCTTAAAAGATTCAGGTGAGCTTGCTCTGGGGCATCCCAGGTGGCTGTGAGCTGTGGCAATAGCTACTCCAGAGGCTTTGGTGAGGGCAGATGTCGTCTTTGGTGTTGGGGGGAGAAGCCTGCTCCCCGGAGTCCTTGGGCTTTCCATGGAGTGTATGGTTTCTGCCCGGGCAGGCAAGTGGATGCTGGGGGCCAGGACGGGGCTTCTGCTCTCACGGCCCTATTACATCAGCTAGGCTGCAGTGGGTGTCTGTGCTTGAAGATTTAATAGCCACACTTGGGCATATATAGAACCGTCTTCAGAATAAAGTATGAGATAATCTGTGAAAAGAAGGGTAGGAAGTAAACTACAAAGAGTATTGCCTGGATTGCTTGTTTAGGGATTTCTAGTTTCAGAGAACATCTGAATGTTTACAGGAAATAAATGTGAACACTGAGTACCCCTACCTTGCTGTGAACACCAAATCCAGGTTAAGTTTTCTCCACTTCTATTTTACCTACCTCTGCCTATGATCACACATGCCATTTCTTACTGGTAAGAAGTTTATATCCATGTTACAGGTGGTCTGGCCGTAATCACCGAGAGAAGATTGGGGTCCATGTCGTCTTTGACCAGGTATTAACCATGGAACCTTACTGCTGCAGGGACATGCTCTCCTCTCTTGACAAAGAGACCTTTGCCTATGATCTCTCCGCAGTGGTCATGCATCACGGGAAAGGGTTTGGCTCAGGACACTACACAGCCTATTGCTACAACACAGAGGGAGGTGCGTGCGCTTTACTCTGTGGGGTGGGGGACACCAAAAAGGGTTGGTTTGTCCACATTTCATTCCTCTCCTTTTATTTAATCTGTAGGGGGATATTACATACATTAAAATCCAGTGGAAAGAATTATGAAAGATGGATTCAAATTTTGAATATATCACTAAGTGACAACATTTAACTCTTCTAAGAATTGACGGGAACTAACATGTAAAAGTGCTGAGCATGCTGCCTAGCACATAATGGTCAATTAATGCTAGAGGTTATAGCTGTTATTAATACTTCTGCTGCAGACCTGTTTCCTTCTTGGTTTTGCATAAATAGTATGACCTAGCTACTCCGTGGTCATATTCATACTGTATGAGTCTCACTAGCATCAGCCCATAGTAAAGCTGAGGACACTTTCTGAGTATTTACAAGTATTGTAACAGACATAGTATATGTCCTGATTACCTTCTTTAACATGGGAGGTGTGAGGATCCAAGGGCCCTTCCCAAGGGGCTTTCTTTCAGTCCTTGTCTCTCAGAACAGAGCCTCCTAGCTACTGCACTAAGGCAGGTGGGTTGTGGATGTGTTTTTAATAGTTTACCCATCTTGAACCCCTCAGCCCTTGGGGTGGCTACCAGAGTGAGCCTTTGAAAAATAACTTTATTCCTTCTAAGTTTTCCTTTCCTTCCATACCTATATCTATGTACATTTCCCCTCTCTTCCCCCTTCTTTTCGCATCTCTTAGCCCCCAGTCTATCTTTGTATAAGTCCCTAATGGGCAGTGAAAAAGCCTGAATGAAATGAGGACAAAAATTAGTCAATACTGTAAGCAGTATTGTGGTGGGGCTTGTGGGGCTAAAACCAGTGGTTTCAGGGAAGTCTGTTGGTTTCATTTACTTATCTCTTCCTCCACCACCACCAATCAAAGGTTGGCTCTATTCAGAACTTCTCTGTCCCTTTTTTCATCTCCTCGTTTGCCTGCTGATTGAAATTTAAGTTGGGTAGTCATATTTTCTCTTTCTTTCATTTGGTTTCCTAGGTTTTTGGGTCCACTGCAATGACTCAAAGCTGAATGTATGCAGTGTCGAGGAAGTGTGCAAAACTCAAGCCTACATCCTTTTTTACACTCAGAGAACAGTTCAGGGCAATGCAAGAATCTCAGAAACCCAACTCCAAACTCAGGTGCATTCCAGCAACAACGATGAGGGCAGACCACGGACCTTCCTCTGAATGGGAGGCACATTATCAAGGACTGACTTGCTTTTGAACTCTTGGTATTGGTACATCTTTCCTCTTACAGGAAATAAGGTTTACTACAGGAACAGATTACTATGTTTGCCTCACTGGGTCTAGAGCAGAAGGTGCCGGGTGACTGGTGTCCTATCACAAAATCTGTAGTCACTTTCTTTTACATGGGTTTAGAAAATTCCCTCCTTTGTTAAAGCAAATCAAAAGGAGTAACTTCTATGAAGACTCTTTCAACAGTTGCTTCTGAATATAGAGGGATCTGGGTGGAGGAAAGAGGGAGTGAGTTGGTCATATCCAGCTGTTTTTTCTTCCTATTATGTGATTCCCCTGCTAATCAGGACCCCTTGCAGCACCGGAAGAGCCTCCTGACGTGAGCAGCCTTCGGCAGAGCACTGGAGGGCAAGGAGGGGCCCTGGGCTAGCAGCTTGCTGGACAGGATTGGTTCCAAGGCAGGAGGTGAAGTCAGGACTTTTTCCTACAGAGGAAGTAGTCCTCAAAGGTTGAAAATTTAGCGACTTCCTTTTTTAGGAGATAGCAGCTGAAGAATGGAAGGAGGTGCATGGAGCAAAGTTCTCCATGCAAAATGGAGGTTTTTCACTTGTCGTATTCTGCCTGGCTGCTGCTGTCATTTAATCATTCCACATCTTCTGAGATGGCACGAACATCCCTTCATTCTAATGAAGGAGCAGTTCACATGGGGAAGCAAGAAACTGGCACATGACATGCTCTTTGTGGCACGCTTAGCCTAAGTGCACTCCTGGACACCCAGTTCTGTAGCAAACTCCTGGTTCGGGTCTAGGGCAAGCACGCAGTTTGGTTTAAATTGGTCTTTTTAGGTCAGGTTTCTGAGGCTTTCTCAGAGCTCAGAGAGTGGGGGTGGGGGAGTCAGTGGTCCAGGGCTTATCGAAATGCCTGTTCCCCGTTCTCACCTTGGTGCAACATGCAGCTTTTCTTAACCTGCAGCTTATTTCCTGTTCACAAGGTGTGGGAGCTTTTGCTTTTCAAAGGCTGAGGACTCTTCCTCCTGTATGTCTGAACAGTTTATTGCTGACACCCCTGGCTGGTTTTCCTCCAAAATCTGCTAATCCCTAATGTTTCTTTACCCACACACCTCAGTCCATCAGAGAAAAAAAGCAAGTGCCCTGTCCTTGACTTCAGTGCTAGTAAGATATGTTTTTCTTTTTTAAACTGGGTCAGTTTCTAAGTGGTATGAAATTGCCCAGATAGAAGCCCTCTGTCCTGTCGGGCACCACTGAATTTCCCTCCTCGGTCCTTCACTTTGACTCACTAGTAAAAGTAAATGCGACCATAACTCTCACTGTGGGAGTGCCACAGCGCCTCAGCCTGTCACTCGGAATGCTTATCTTTTGACTGAGTATGTCATGTTAACGTTCGGGTAGAAGTGCAGCTGTCACCTGAAGGGAGTGGATGTGAAGGAAGTTTGGGGAGGGGTGGGAAGTTGGGAAATGAGAGGCTAAAGAATGAGAGGCGTGGCTTTAGCAATGGTGAAGGACCACATTTCCCAAGCAGATCTGTATAGCATTTGCTGTTGACCTCTTTGGAGATGAATTCTCCCATAGGACCTGCCAGACAGCACTGAGATTTGGAGGAAATCAGACAGAAAATGGCTCACCGTGATAAGGAAAGGGAGTGACTATACTTTAAATTAAACTTGCTTTTTCCAACACTGTGAGGTTTCTGTAATATTTAGCTTTTATTTGGAAGCGATAGCGTATGGCATTTTTTATGCTATTTGGTTTATATTGTCTACTGCAGGCTTCTTTGTACAAGCTTGGCCCGGGCTTACCCTCACCTGGACACTGTTTTAAAGTGTCACAGCCGCCCATGCTGCCAGAGGCTCTGATATGAGGCTATAGTCTCTAGATCCACATTTTTAAGTTGGTATGATTGGTGATGACCTTTTGTGGCAAGAGAAAAGCGCACTGACTTTTAAAAAAAAAAGAAAAAGGGAAGGAAAATATAAATTGTGCCTCATCTTTCACTGAATGCTATATTTATTATTCTAGAAAAAGAGAACTGACAAATGGAAAAATACTATACAGCATCTACTAAATCCCTCAGGCTGTCTGGGGGTGGGGGGAATGAGAAGAATAAACATCTCATGGAAAATTAAAACATCTTCCAATTTAATTTTTAAAAAGTTTTATACCAAAAGTTAAGAATTAAGCAGACTAAGGACTTTGTATTAATAGGGTAAGTGCTTCAAATTAATAAAATCATTTGAAGTAAGTTGGAACAGAAACCAATACCAGAGTCCTCAAAGAGCTGCACACACTTGAAGGTGCCCCTGCAGTCAGACACCTCAGGTACCCAGAGGCAGCAGCAATAGACGCTGTTGAGAAGTTAGTATTTATGGAGATTTTATTAAAGAAAAGAGTTTCCTGCTGCATAAGCCAATGGCTGTTGTGAGGGAAATGTCCCTTTGCCTTTAATTTATTTACATACTGGAAGTAGATGAATTTCTTAGTTGCATCTTATTTTAAGTCAAAACATTGTAAAGAAAATAAGAACCAGGTGGAAGTTGACTAGATGCTGCCAAATCAAATCCAAGATCTCCTAACTGAACCTTACGGGCCTGCTTCTCTCCCAGACAAGTAGTTACAGCCCTGTTCTAGGAACCCTGTGTAGTTGGCTGGTGTGTTTACTTTCTGCTGTAGCCAGCCAAGATGAATGCACCCTGGCCCTCAAATTTTTACCTCAATCTAGCTTGACCCTCATACTTGTGGTTGCCTCAGAGATAAGCATTCATGCTAGTGTTAAAAAAAAAAAAATTAGGAATGCCCTCAATGGCTAGGAACTGAAGCTCTTATTCAAGATGGCAGACCTCTTGCCTGCTTTGATCCAGTCCCTCTCAGGCTGACGGGGACAGTGCCACACTGTAAAGAATTTTCAGATGTCTCATAAAATGTCATGAATAAAATTGGGAACTATAGAAGTGTTAATGTGTCCTATGGACTCAATAGCAGAGTTTATTTTTGTTTTTAATGTCAAGGTTTCTAGAGTCAACGACTGTGCGTTTTCCACTCTGGCTATGATTACAGTTCCATCCAAGTGTAAGAACTAATGAGGTGGGTTGGCAGGCAGTGGGGCACAGCCCTAGCCAGGTCCCAGCATAAACGTGAGAGGTTGACAGTAGTACAGAATGAAGACTTGGTTGGGTGTGGGGGGGGTGGGGTGGGATATGGGTGGGGGGGGGGTGAGAAATGGAGTTTGTTTTACGTACTGATAAAGCTTTGTGAACTAATTTTATACAATTCATAAAAGTTGGTGCCTTGTACCTAATTATGGTTTGCATGGGATTGAAAAGATTAAGGGAAAGGATTCTTTCTTGTCATTTCAAGTGGCAAATGGGTCTGTATAGTGTAAAGGACATTTGGTATCACTTTTTAAAAACATGTCGTATCTTGTGTGTGTGAAAGCAAATTATTACCAGCAAGTTCTGAAAATTCTACTGTAATGTCCAAAACCTTTGTGTTTGATTATTCATCAATGTCCCCTTTTCAAGGCAAACTATATACCCTGTTCTTTTATACCACCCCTTTTATGTTCCGAACATTAACTCAGGCCTTTTTAAAATCAGGCTGGGAGGGCTTCCCCTTCCTAAACATATCCCTATCTGAGTTTTTATCTTTTAAGTGGAAGGGTTACTTTTCCAGCTGGTTGGGAGAGCACAAATGTTCAGAAAAAGGTATTTTAGTTTTTCTAATGCTAGGCAACATATGGTACAAGTCAAACAAAAACCATTCCTCCTGAAGTGGTACCTTCATTAGTTCTGAAGTTCTTTTGCACAAAGTTTCAGGAAGCAGTGTAAAACACAATCCCCTATATGTGAACCTTTAGATTTAAGGCAAGCCAGTGCACTGTGTAATATGCAAAAACGAAGGCTCAAAGAACCTGTCCCAGCAACCCAGTCCCACTGGGGATGGTACTGAGTAGCTGTGGAAGAGAAGACCCGGCCTACTCACCTGCAGGGCTGTAAACAGCGTGTTCCTTTTACTACCACCTCAAGGTTTCCACTGAGCTCCTGAGTCTTCACCAAAGGGTGTTTAAAAAGCTTACTCAAAGCACATTTGATAATTGGGTCCCTCAGCCTAACGACTGGCCTAATTAGGTGAGGAGGCTGTATCTTTGGAATAAAACCTCCCATGGCCACTTAGTTTCCTTACCAGGTAAGTATGCATCTCCCTGGTGGTTGATTCTTTTTTGAAGTTAGCACTAAAGTTGAAAAGCGCCTTCTAAATGACTGTGAGTTTAGTTTTTATCTTCCATGTTTAAATAACCATTTTCTTGGTCTAAGACTTTGACTTTAACCACTGTGTATTCAACCCAAACACCGCTCTAAGCACACCTCAGTCACTAGAGCACTGAAGTGAATGGTCATTTTTGCGGACTGTTTCCATACTACTGTTGGCATATTTCTATTTCAGATCTAACTAGATAGTGTAGGAGATTTTCAGAGTAGTGTTAACTAGCCTGGGCTAAACAGCTTATACAGGATGTAAAACTGACTTCCCTTGAGGAAAAATGTGTTGAAATGGTGAAAGCCAGGATTTTCATTTACAGAATTCATATATTATCCATCAAAATTTGGTGTAGATTTGGTACCTTTAACCTGCTAAATTCTTATCATTTTCAGGAATTAAGCCAGTTGAAATGAAACTTTACCTTATCAGCTTACGGCTTTATAAACCAATAGCAACACTGTTTGTTACTTGAAGCTAAAACATTACATTTTAAGTGAAACTTGAATTATGCTTTTGGAAGCTGCCATGTCTTTAATTTTGGCCATGTTTTGAATTTTACCTTTGAAAATTGCTATCAAATAGAACTTTTCACAATTATGAGTAGCTCAGGTAGCGGACTTCAAGGATGTAAGTTTCACTCCTATAAAGAACAGGTGCTGCTATTTCTAGGCTTAGCAGTGGTCTGATGCAGGCTGACGGGGCTCAAAAGTTTCCTTCCTGGTCACCATTTGGGGGGCGATGGCTTCAAACCCAAGCCTTACTTAATGTATGTTACTTTTCCTCATCTTAACAGCCTAGTAAGATATAAACTTGCCAGAGCATCTGTGATCCCTATGTATATTCTTAAAGGATCCTGACCTCATGTTAAGCCAGCCACAGGCCTCAATTCATACAGACTCAAACTCCTTTCTCCTGACAGACAGGACCTCCCTGATCAGAGCTCATAAGAAAATGGTGCTTTTCTTTAACATATAAAAAACCTAATTTTCAGAGTTAGGGTCATTCTCCCCCGCCCCTTCGGAGGTCTATATGGCACTTCTCCCATAATTTTTGTAGGTCTTGTGAGATAAACAAGACCAACAACAAAAAAAAAACCTAATTCTCTTAACAGATTTCTTAACCAGATTTACGCCAGCAGGGTCAAGAAGGACCATTTTATTCTATTTACCTTTAGTGAACAGACTGCTAGAGATAACACCTGTCAACTTACAATCAGGCCACTGTGGTACATTTATACTGACCCTCTTTCCCAGTTCTTGTCCTTTAATCTCATACTAATTCCAGAGGAGACTTGGCACAAAAAAGTAGTATGTATATTTTTTAAACACCTAGTAGAGCAAATCAACTAGAAAAAATTGCCAAGGGGAGCCTGTCTCTATGCCCACACCTTTCTAAGCCTACATCATTCTTTCCATGCCAGTTTCTTACATACTCCATTTCCAAAGAACCCCAAACTCCTGGACAGTGGCACTACCTGAATTTTATGGTCAGAAAATATCTCTTTACTTGTGAAGGAAGCAGCTTCCTCAAGCAGTGTCGCTACAGAGCCCATTGCCCAGGCTTACTCACACCTTGCCTCCACCTGCACATTACTGCCCTCAAATCCCACTGTATTATAGTTACAATGCCTCCCTGGTGCCTGGAAAACCCACCTGGTGCACTGAAATGCTATGCAACACCAAATGGCTTCTTCCCATAGTCCTGCTCAAAAATGGAAATTCCTCAAGAATAAGCTATTACCTATGCTAACATCACTGTATGGTGGCTAGTTTCCATTTCTTTTTTTCTTTTACTATGAAGCAAACCATCTGTTTAAATCCATGATTGGGACTTGTTCCTGTCTCTTTTGAGTGTGAAATATAAATCATGTTTTTATGATTTTTGTAAATCTTGACTTTTTACATCTTGTTTTTGTAAGCTGAAGTTTTCTTATTAAAAAAATAAAATGTCTTTGTGTACACGCTTTATTTGTTAAAATACCATTAGATTATTCCTCAGGACAAGAGCAAAGATAATCCCCTGCAGAACTTAGGAACTATGTACAGCATTTTACAGAACAGGAGACAACACTTTAGCTGAAGGCTGCCTGCTGACCAGAGAAGGGTGTCCTGAGTGGACTCAGCAAAGAGGAGGCAGGCAGGCAGGCAGGGAAGGGAAGGTGCCCTCTGGATCAACCTTCAGCGGCCAGCAGGGCAAGTCTTGTGATGGTCACAGACTGGAGGCTGTTTTTGAAGGGGTCGAGTACAGCACGGGTTCCATGTGTCTGCAATCAGACAACAGGTGGCATTAGAAACGTAAAATTACTGGAGTGAAAATTACTAAGAGACTCAGAGCCCTCGCAACATCTGGAAACATATCTAACTAGGAACAGCCAAGGGTCTTTTGTCAAGTCTCTTTCCTAATAGTCTGTGAACAGTTGATCTAAGTTATTTCTTCTCCCAGGCTCTAGGACTTCTAAAAGAACAGTGGTTAGTGCTTACCTTCACAGGCTAGACCCCAGGCTGAGGTGCCATTAGGTCAATGTCACTCAAATTTCTGGCCAACCAAACTCCAGCAGCAAAGAGTCCCAAATTGAGAATCAAGTTCCTAGAAAAAGAACACATCCCATTAACCCTGTGGTCACCGAGTCACGTGTCTTTGGTTAACAAGAGATTTGGGGGGTGGGAGTGGTTCCCATCATCACACACAGGAGGAAACTGTCCCCTCCTGAGGCAAAAGCACTTCAGAATCTTAGGAGCACTGATCGGTACATAATAGGTTGCCCAAGACCACATGGTTATTTAAGGTTCGTTTCTACGTCTAATAAGAGCAGGGTCAAACGCAAAGGCCAATTAAACACTTGTCCAGGGGCAAAAAAAGCCTGTTTGTTGGCGCCCCCTCCCCCAGGGTCCCCGTGAGCAGATTCTCTAGACAGCCCGATGACTGAAAAGAGTGCTTCGGCAGCACGGAAATCCTCCCGATCAAGGACCTCAGCAAAGCACAGCCAGAGCCACAAAGAGGCCAAGATGTGGGTGGTGTAAAAAAAAATAGGATTTACCAGCCCGGAGGAAGGGAAATCCAGGGGTACGCATAACGCGCGCGAAGGGCCGGAGAGGGACCGAGCCCCCGGGCCTCGGTTACCTCCGGAAGTCATTCCTGTCGGTGGCGAAGCGGTAGACGCCCCGAAGCCAGTCCCCCACGTTGTCTGGAATTTCGGGAGCTTCATTTGCTGAGCCCGCAGCGGTAACGCCTGCCCCACTGGAAGCCATGGCAGCAACTACGCGCTCCGTAGGAACGCTCACCACGCACCGGGCGGGCGCCGACAGATCACGCAACTTCCGGCCTCACACTTCCGCCGGCCCCCGGCCGACAGAGGGCGCCGCGGCTCGCGCTCCCACAGGCGCCAGCACAACTTCCCGGGTGCGCGTCCGCCACCTCGGCCAGGGATGGAGCGCCGCCCTGCTCCAGTCTCCCTGGTCGGGTTCCACCTCCAGCTCGCTCCTGGCCTTCGGCTGGCGCACCCGCTCACAGTCCAGGTGTTCTCCGAGTGATCACTTAATTGGTTCGGGAGGAGGACGCTGGGGATGGGGCCGCGCAGCCTGTGGGGGCGGGGCAGGGGCACTCAGCTGGGGACGCGTAGCTTTGAGGAATGGGCTTCTCCGAGTCTCCATGAAGAGTCATAAAGTGCGCGGGCTGAGGAAGCACTCAAACCTGTCATCTCGCCGCCCCTCCCCAGACTTGGTCCTGATGGCATTCAGTCTAGGACTTAGGGGTAGGAGAGCCTCGCTCTCTCGCCTTACCGATCACACACCCCCCCCCCCCAACACACACACCCGCTAAGCCCCCCTTTCTCCAGGCTGCGCCACTAGCAAATGGTACAATGCCTCCTGGAGGTGTCGCTGTCCTCAGTTCGGAAAGGGGCCGGGGTCTCCCAGGGCCGGGGAAGGCGCTGGCCTAAGAAAAAGCCTTCGGGTTCCGATTCAGAGGAAGAGGAGCAGGTGGGACAGGGAGCATCCTCCTTGGGATCAAGGGGCGTCTCTAGGAGGCCCTGCGCTTGCCCTTGGCGTGCCTCCGTGTGGTCCCCAGCTCGATACTCCTGCTCTGCGCTGGATCCAAGCATCCCGCTCCGTGTTTCCAGACTGGAGCTGGCGGCAGTGGCGAGAAGGGTTACCCGGGAGATGATCGCGGCATTCGGCTGGGCGCAGTCCGGATCTCCAGCTCTGCAGAGCCCCTCCTCTCCTGTTCCGGGCGGGGTCAGAAACGCCCATCTCAGAGCCGCGAGTCTACTTCTCCCAGATTCGGGCGGGGCAGCGGCCAGAAGCCAGTCCCAGTCCGGGCCCAGCCTCCTGCCCCGCCCCGAGCCGTGCGCGCCGCCGCCGTGGGTCTGCTCCCGGCTCCCGCCCCTCCCCGCCTCCGCCCAGCAGAGGGCGGCCGCGGCCCCAGCCCAGGAGCGAGTCCCGCGCCGCAGCCCCAACGGCGGCGCGGGGTGGGTTCTGGAGGCCCTCGGAGCGCGCCGGCCAGGGACGCGCGGTGAGAGCTGCGGGCCCCGAAGCTCGGGTCTGGGGGTGCGGTGGGGGGGACGGGGGCGCTGCTGGAGGGGCGGGACGGCGTGGGACCGGGGTGAGGGTCCCAGCCCGGGAGAACCACCCCCCTCAGCCCAGCCCAAGCCGCTGCCCCCTTCCCCTTTGATCTTCACCTTCTCCTCCCTTACCCGGGGACGCCCTGCTTTCCAGTGTCGGGGCCGGACTCGAACCCGCATCCGAATAGCGACGCTCAAAGCAGTTGGGGCAGCAGGGGCCGCCCCCCGGCAGGGCATAACGTCCCCCGCCCAAGGGCCCGGCGCAGTCCTGGCAGCAGAAGTGGTTTTCGTGCCAGCGCCGTCCCTCGGCCTCGGTGCAGCGCCGGGAGAAAATCAGCTGAGAGAGGGAGAGGGGAACGGTTCATTCATTCATTCACTCATTCATTCATCCAATAACCACGCCTTATACCCAGGTGACGCTAAAGCACGTCTACAGACATTCCCATTTGATCTACTCAAACACTCTCAGACGCGGGGAGGGCTGATTGGCTTAGCCAGGATCCCCCAGCTAGCAGGTGGCACATCCTGAAGAAGTGCGACCCGGGTCGCCTGGACGCCCAACCCAGGTTTCCATACTGCCTCTTGTGCAGACACTGAACGAGTTCCTCGCTGGAGCAGGCACAGCACTAGCCTACTGAGATGATCGTCTGTCCTAGAGTCCCTGCTCTGGAGGGATTCAGTCCAAGAAAATTGGGGGGACTCTGCTTGCGGTGGGAGGCAACGGGTCCCAGGTGCCCAGAGCTCAAAAGTCAGAGCAGGGCAAATACAGAAGTCCCAGGCTGGTTTCCAGTTCTCTGTTCCCGAGTCCATGGTACTGAAAGAGGCGTCCCCTTGCACCCTGCCACTCTTAACCCTGGGCAGACCCCCTCCAGCCCCTCCCTTCAAGATTGTACCTGGTCACAAGCCGGGCAGCGCGGCCGCAACAGCTCTGCGTGATGACGGCCACAGTAAAGACGCCCATCGTGGTAGAAGTAGATGAGGTTGATCAGGGCCTGGCCACAGGCCTGGCAGGCAAAGCAAGCCCGGTGCCAGCAGCGCCGCTCTCCTGCCCGAGCTGCAAACACTCCGTACTCCCCTGGCCTCAGCCGCTGCCTGCACTGCGGGGCGTGGGTGCTGGGCTGGTCACAGGCTGTGTATGCCACCCTCCAAGCTCTTCCATCCCAACCCCAAAACTAAATGTTCTTCCCACACCTCCAGCAAACCTACCTCCACTGCAGGCTCCACCAATAAGCCCTACATTTGGTTTCCCTTTTTCCTGAATGTTGCCAAACTGTCAATCCCCAAACCCCTTTTCCTCTCCAAAGTCCCCAAAGCCATCCCCTTCTGCAGCAGTGAGAGGGCAAAGAGAGGAGGAAGGGGAATATGGTGGCCAGGTCGGGTGTTACATACATTTTCACAGGTGCATTCTTCAAGCTTGAGAGGTACCAGGCGGGCCACCCCCTGTCCCAGGGCCTCCCGCCTCCGTTGGGCACAGAAGAGCCGCAGCTCGGCCAGCTCCTCCTCCCCAAGGGCCAGGCAGTAGCGCTCCTGCAGAAATAGGTGTCCACGGTAACTGGGAGAGCCCCAGCAGGCAAGATTGAAGTTTGACTGGAGAGAGGAGGTTTAGTTGTTTGGTCAAAGACTGTAAAACCTCAAGGAGCTGCAGTAAATAACAGCGCAGATGAGCACTGAGGAGATGGAAGAGAGGTGGAGTCCATTCACCTGTGTCTCATTTCCCCAAGGAATGGTGATCGCTCAGGTCCTGACGGCCCCATAGCACTTAGCCCATCTTCCTATACTGGGTTGGCCAAAATGTTCATTCAGGATTTTCAGTAACATCGAATGGAAGAACCCAAATGGAATTTTTGGCCAACCCAGTATTTAGATCCTGGCTCCCAATGAGCTGTAGCTCAATATCACTTCCCACTGGATTTCCCCTATTCCATATTCTCTTGCCTCACCTCCCCAATTGAATTGTAAACCTTTAGGCTGGGCACACATAGGGGCCTCAATAAATACTTAACCACCATATGCTCTACATTTATACATTCCATTATCAGGTTCAAAGGCTGGTCATGTTCATTTTCTCATTTGCTCTTCAGCTAAGCATGGTGGTGGGCAGAGCAGATGTCACTGCCCACATTATGTAGACCTGAAAGCTTAGGCCAGGGGTTGGGGGATGACTTCCCCCAATTAGTGGCATATCTTGGCCGTAAATTTGTGCCTCCCTCCCTTCTGTACCTCGCTTCTTCCCACAGTAAGTAAAGAGAGGGAGGCCAGAGAGAGGAAAGCTGGGGAGAGGGAGGCCCACATCGCTGTCCTGTGGAGGGAGCTGCTGCAGGAGGCTCCGGAGCCCAGGCCAACTGGGGGCTGGGGTGGTGTCCAGGCCAGGGTGCCCCCAGCTCAGAACTTCAGGATCCTGAGGAAACACAGCAAAAGGAGAAGGGCAGAGCTTGGTTTGTCCTTTCCTCCCCTTCCGCCCTCCCTCCTTCATTGCCACCTCTTCATCAATCCGGAACAATGTCCACCCTCTCCTGAATTTGGAGAATCTTCCTTCAAGATCACAAAGACAGTTGATCCATTCTCGTGTTTGTGGTCTTACTGAGGCAAGTTAGCGGGACACACCCCAAAACATCTTCCCTTCTTATGCTTGAAATCACCCCCTTCACTCCTTAGGGCCAAACCCCCTGGGTTCTGCTTTGCCAACATAAGCCCCGTAGGAAAGAATTCATGTATACGTATGAATAAGTTTAAGGAAGTTGAAGAATTTCCTTGTGGTCCAGTGGTTAGGACTCTGCGCTTTCATTGCCAAGGTCCCAGGTTCAATCCCTGGTTGGGGAACTAAGATTCTACAAGCTGTACAGCACAACCAAATTGGAAAAAAAAAATAAGAGAAGTTGAACCCCTGTGTTCTGAGGGGACTATAGGAACAGGGATTCCTGCAAAGGAAAAGGGCTGCAAGAAGCTGGGCACAAAGGCTAACTACCTCCCACTTAGTGGAAATGGGAAGAGGTCCAAAGGATGAAGTGGATGTCAATCTCAGAGGGAAGGGCAGGACTCCTCTCACCTGAGCAGAAGTCTCCTCAGGGTCCTCCTTGGGCATGTGGTCTGGGTTGCTATCTGAGTTGACTGGTGGATTCAGCTCCGGAGAGGCCAACCTCTTTACTCGGTGGGGCCAGCCAGAATTCAGCAGTGACATTGGTGGTAAAGTCTGTACAGAAAACAGCAAGAGGCCTCCCATTTATTTGACCATAACAATGCGCTAGGCAGGCTAAGTGCTTTACAGGCATTATCTCCTTCAGTCCTCCCATCAACTACATGAGTTAGGTAGTATTCTGGTCACCATTTTACAGATGGCCCAACTGAGGCTCAGTAAGTGTAAGTGGTCTGCTCAAGGTCACAAAGCTAGTAAATGGCGGAGTCAGATCTTGAGGCCAAAGCTTTCAGCTCCAGAGTTTCTGAAGCTCCAACTCTAGGTTTCCCAGCATTGGGATGGAGGAAAGCAGAGGCCTGTAATGGAAGAGGGAGACAAGCTGCTTTCCCCGTGAGCCTTTGGGTGGACTGGCCCCTGTTCCCCACCTTCCCAGTCATAACTCCCACCGTTCCTCACTGGGCACTCAGCACCCAGGAAGCCTGCTTCCTCATCTCTTCCCACTTCTCCCACTGTAGGCTTCAGCCAGGTGAAAGAACCACTTCACCAGGAGACCCTTCTTAGCCTCTCCAGCCTATACCAGCTCACCTTCCCCTATGCTCCAGAAATAGGTACAGTGAGTGTCCCCAGATTTTTCACCTAATGTTCCTCTTTGCCCACTGTGCATCTCTCAGCTCCTCATCTGGTCTATCAGCTCTTCCAGGACAGATGAAAATCCTATGCTTATATCGTCTATCTCTAGTAGCAACTTCACTGGATAATTCTAAGTGCAATTCTTTAGCCCTCCTCTGGGTGAGCCCTGCTATGGCTACATTATCTTGGAGATGGGAGGTGACTACTGAAGTGGTAAAGGGATGAGCCCTGCCCACAACAAGCTCATCGTCTACTGGGTCAGTCATCGATGAAACCAGCCAGCATGGGGCCAGGATTCTGGGCAGATAGACACAGCATCCTAGGAAGAAAAGAAAAAAAAAAAAAACTTTTCTAGAATATTTACTCTGTGCCAGGGACTTTTCTGGGGCTTCCAAGGTGGTGCTAATGGTAAAGAAGCCCCTTGCCAATGCAGGAGTCAGAGGAGACTCAGGTCCAATCCCTGGGTGGGGAAGATCCCCTGAAGGAGGGCGTGGCAACCCACTGAAGCGATTTAGCACCCACTGCATGCAGAGACTTTTCTAGCATGTTACATAATCCATCCTCACAACAATCCTGTGAAGTAGTTTCTATTATCCCATTTTGCGGTTGAAACAAACTGAGGTTAACTAACTTGCCTGAGAAGTTAGTTACATTAGAAATTAGTCACATGAGAAGGCTAAGGGAAGCTTTAGAGGAGGAAGTTGCCTTTGAGAGCTGGGATGGCAGCAGGGCACCAGAGGGGATCATCAAATCCCTAGCCTCCGTAAGACCCAGTTTTAGGGCTGGGTACAGGATTTGGACCATAAACATTCTATGGCTTCCCGGCCCTGAGCCCTCCCGTCTGCCACCCTCCCCAGCTTCCTGGCCCCACACCCATCTGCTCCCTTCCTGTTCTGTCCCCCAGGTCAGCTTTCCTGTGGAAAGCAGTCGGGATGGGCTGTTCACACTCAGGGCCAGGAGGGGACTGAGACCCTCTTTTCCAGGTTCTAGTTTGCATGAAATCGTCTCACACAGGACCAACGCTCAGAAATCAGTCCTCACGCCTCACCCTCAGTCCTCACCCCAGGACTGCAGAACTCCACGTTCACTTAGCACTGGACTCCATCTTACTAATATGCTAGATTCCTTCCAGAATTCTCCTCCCCCCTTACAAATAAGACAAGACTGAACCCCCTCCCCGTCGGGCGCAGGTGTAAACGGGCTCAGGAGTTCTACTTTCCTGAAGGGCAGAGGCTAGGGATTGGGAAATTGGGGGGTGGGGTGTAAGGGATGAAAGATTTCCCCGGACAGTGAGAGGAAGAAAGGTTCTGGTCCTGCCAAGTGCCATCTTGACAGATCCCCAAGTTTTTTCTTGGATTTCTCGGGGCCCACCTCCGAAGCGGGACGCGGTGTGGTTCCCGTCAGTTGGGGTTCCCAGTCCGGCTGCTTAAGTTTAGGAGAGGGGACGGGACTCCGCTGGGGTCTCACCCTTGCTGAGCGCTGGTGTCTGGGCGGTTCAGGACAGACGCCGCTGTCGGGCCCCTCACCCAGTCTCCACCTCCAGATCTAGGCGCCCGCCTCTGCCCGCCCCCGGGAGCGCGGCGCTTCCTCTCCCAGCAAACCCTCCCCGCCCCGCGGGCCCCGTCCGCCTCTCCGGGGCTGGTAGGGCCCGACGGCTCGGGGAGGGGCCTAGAGCTGCCTAGTGAAGGAAAGCATTTGAGGGATCTCGGGTGAAAACGGTGCAGGCGCCACTGCCCCACGCCCGTGGGTTTAGACCTGGAACCGCATCTCTGCGGGCGCTGAGCAGACACCCAGGAGCCATCGTTATGCCGGGTCCTCAAGCACTCGCTGAACAGAACACCTTTCGAAGCCTGCAGGTCCCCCCAGACCTTCCTTCTGGTCTCCTAGGCCCGCCCTTGTCTGTGTGTCCCCACCCCGACCTAGTTCCCTCCCCCTTGTCCCCAGCCCCTTTCTGGGGTCCCTTGTACTACCCTTCCCTGTTCCATCCCTTCAAGATCCTCCCCCATCTTTCGAGTTTCTCCCCGGTCCCGCCCCCGGCTCCGGTCCTTTTTCTTATCCTGGGAGTGGAAACCTTTGGTCCCACCTCTGGTCCCCTCAGCCCCGCCCTCAGCCCCGCCCCCGCCCCGCCCCCGCGAGGCGAGCTCTGCCGCTGGCCCGGAGCGCCCTCTGGCGTCTGCGCATGCTCCCTGCTCGGTACTGCAAAGTCCTCCAAAGGGACCTTCTAGGCTGCGCGCCGGTCGCCCCCGATCGGGTCCGCCTGCCCGCAGCGTCTCGTTGGTGCAGCCGGTGACCTCCGACCCCGCCGCCGCGGGGCGGGGAGGCCTTAGCTCCGGGCGGGCGGCGGCTGCTGCAGCGGGACCCGGGAGCGGGGCCCGGCGCCGCCCGGGCCGCGGGGCGATGTGAGTCGGGGTGCGGCGGGGCTGGGACGACGCGGCTCCACCGAGGCCGCACCGCGCCTCGCCGCAGTCGCCGCTCCCTCCCGAGGAAGTACCGGGAGGGCGGGCGGTGGAGCCCCGGGGTTGGGGGCGGGGATCTAGGGACTACGCGCGGCCCTGACCTCCCCTATTCCTTCCCGGCATCTAGAAATTCCCGTCAACTCTGTTACCTAAATCTGCCTCTAACCTCCCAGAACCACCCTATCCCCACCCCCGACACACCTTCGCGTATCCTGAAGTCCCGAGAACCCCTGTCTCCTGCAAATTCCCCTGCTACGCCCCCAGAACGACCATTCTCTCTGGGATGAATCCAGATGCTTCCACCGTCCTGAAATTCTTCTGAGTCTTCATGCTCCTCCATTCTCCTTGCACCGTGCTCAAATCCAAAGCATTTCTCCTCCTTTCCCCAGTCCATCTCACATGTTTTGAGCCGCCATAACCTCAAACTCCTACTCCCAGTCCACACCTGTCTCAGAGCAGAGCCTTCTCCTGTCACCCGATGTCACCCCCTTAGCTGGGCTGTCATATGTCCTGGAATCTTTAAGAACAGTGAAGGAAACAGGAAAGGATGCAGCGTCCTCCCTCACCTTGCACCCTGCCGTTCTTGGCTTCACCCCCAGACTCCCTGTTGGCTCAAGCCCCAGTATTTACCCAGCTGCGCGTCTTTACCCAGCTGTGCACATCTTCCTCAGCCTGCTGCCCCTTCTGGAGAGTAGGCCAGACAGAGGGCCCAAAGATGCAGAGCACCTCGGGCCCTGGGAAATGACCTTGTTTTTCCAGAGCAGGAGGGTGGGATTTCAAGGATCTCCAGGGTCCTGGCTTGTTGACTTGTCCACCTAGGGCTCAGATTACTGAAATTTTGGTTGATAGCATTTGTGTTAAATTATAGGCCTTTTGGAGCTTGGAGAACAGAAAGTCTATCAAGGTTCCAAATGTGAGATTGAAGGAGCTTGTCCTAGAAGAGGAAAATATTGATTTTAGTGGTGTTTGTCCTATGTACTTACTTCTAGAGGTGAAGCTCCATAGTTTACAGCTGTTTCCCGCAAAAACTGGAAAGCTGTTTACCTTAAAGACTTTGGGGTGGGAGTTGTGGGTGGCGATGGAGGATTTGCTTGGCAGACTCTTTCTGATACTTAGCAGGAACATAAAAACTAGAATATTGGTTTCCTGAATCTTAAGCCATTGCTCTTTCCAATACATCTTCGTATCTTCTTGAGAGAGCTCTCTGTAGAGTTAAGTTCTCTGCAAAGGTAAGGTGATGATCTTGGTATTGGTTGTAACAGGATTCAGAGAGCGTCTAGAAGTGACTTAAAATGTTCTGGCCTCTCTCGGACTTCAAAGTCACTGTTTCCAGGGGAGTCTTTCCCTCTCAGGGCCTATGGGGCTTAGAATTTATGGTCCCTTTGGCCTTGATCTTTCTTCACTGGCATTTATATCCCATTAGAGCCTGGAATGGATATCCCGGTGGGATGGACTGACAGCAAGTCAGTTTCATTAACAATTGAGGGGTGAGGACAGAAATTTTCCACTAACCTGTGGTCTCTGTCTCCTATGCTAGGTGAGCCCCAGGTGTATCCCAGGGAGATCCAAGTGACTTCTCTGCAGACTGCTTGCCATGCCACCCCACCAAGAACAGGGGGAATAAAGTGGGGGTCCTTCCCCATGCCCCTCCCATGGTCAGCTCTCCGATGGCCTGGGTGAGGTGAGACCTGTGTATAGGAGCCACTTTTCTAGAATTTCCCAAGTTGGGAGGAATTGAGGGTGCAGGTCAGGATTGTTCAAGACTTTACACTTTCAATGGGAGTTCTAGAAGGTATCTAGTCCTACCGATTCATTTCTTGCAGCAAGTTGCAAACCCATAATTTCTGGTTGGGATTGGTCCATGGGTTTGCTTGCTCCCTTAGGTCACTGTAGCCTGGTGATGTCATTTCCATTCTAGCCACAGGCCCAAATGTTGTGACGTCTAATTTGAGTGTTGTAATCTGAGAGGGAAAAACCAGATAGTAAGGCCTCTGGTCTCCCGTTTGGACAAAGGGGAGCAAACCGAGTGTTTGTTTTTTTAATGAAGAAATGCCTACTCAAGGTTATGAAAATAGTGGTCTATTTTCAATTTCTATCATCTGAATGTATCTCTTAACCATAACATAACATCTCATTTGAAGAGAACATCAAAAATAAACTTGAGATAGATGTTATAACCTCAGATATGCAGATGATGCCACCCTTATGGCAGAAAGTGAAGAGGAACTAAAGAGCCTCTTGATGAAAGTGAAAGAGGAGAATGAAAAAGTTGGCTTAAAATTCAACATTCATAAAATGAATATCATGGCATCCAGTCCTATTACTTCATGGCAAATAGATGGGGAAACAGTAAACCCAGTGACAGACTTTATTTTCTTGGGCTCCAAAATCACTGCAGATGGAGACTGCAGCCATGAAATTAAAAGACGCTTGCTCCTTGGAAGAAAAGCCGTGACCAACCTAGACAGCATATTAAAAAGCAGAGACATTACTTTGTCAACAAAGGTCCATCTAGTCAAAGCTGTGCTTTTTCCAGTAGTCATGTATGGATGTGAGAGTTGGATCGTAAAGAAAGCTGAGCACCGAAAAATTGATGCTTTTGAACTGTGGCGTTGGAGAAGACTCTTGAGAGTCCCTTGGACTGCAAGGAGATCAAACCAGTCAATCCTAAAGGATATCAACCCTGAATATTCATTGAAAGGACTGAAGCTGAAGCTCCAGTACTTTGGCCACCTGATGCAAAGAACTGACTCATTGGAAAAGACCCTGATGCTGGGAAAGATTGAAGGCAGGAAGAGAAGGGGATGACAGAAGATAAGATGGTTGGATGCTATCACTGACTCAATGGACATGAGTTTGAGCAAGCTCTGGGAGTTGGTGATGGACAAGAAAGCCTGGCATGCTGCAGTCCATGGGGTCGCAAAGAGTCAGACATGACTGAGCAACTGAACTGAGATGTTGGGGTGGTAGTAAGAAAGGAAAAGAGAGGATCTGAGTGAGGTGGGACAGGAGGAACAGGAGAAAGTTCCAGGCCAAAGTGTCTGGGACTCCCCACCTACAGTTTCTTTGCTGAATCTGGATGAGGACCCCGGCTGGCACCCAGCTCCTGATGCAGATCCGTTCCTCTAGGTCCCTCCTTTCAGCCATGTTTTTTATGCTGCCCAGGCTGCCCTTCCCTCATATGTCAGTCAGAATCCTACATACTTCTCAAGGTCCAGGTCAAACGTTATCCCTGAGAAGCTCTCTCCATCCCCCCATTAGCATTAATCCTTAACACATCCTAACTCAAGTTAATGTTTATCCAGTGTGTGTCTGGCCCTGGATTGAGAGTGTGAATTCCTTGAGGAAGGGACTGTGAGTCTTGGACAGAGTAGGTGATCACAGCAGGTTGGTTCTGCCAGAGTTCCCCAGAGCAGGGCTTTGGGGAGCTGGCTTTGATGATTTTACTGTCCTTTGTGTTTTTCCCAGGGCAGGCAGGCTGCTCTGACACCATGGGGAGCTGCTGCAGCTGCCTGAACCGAGACAGCGTCTCAGACAACCACCCCACCAAGTTCAAGGTACCCACAGCCCCCTCCTTTCCCACATACCCAGAATGGCCTCCTGGGTTCTGCCCAAGCTGTCGAGTTGCCTGCCTAGAGAAGGTGGAATGACCTCCTGAGGCTGTGGGCTTTTTAAGATTTATTAAGAATTCTCAAGCTCAGGATCTCTGAGCAGGCCCAAGGAAAACAGGCTCAGTCCATTGCCGTTTTTGCAGCTCTTAGTCTTAACTAAGAATGAAGAAATGCTGAGAGTAGTAAAGATTGTGCTTTCAGCACGACGTTCACTCCTGTCAGTGTATCTTTAAACAACAAAAGTCTGCAATGTTAAGTTTGCTGCTTGCTTTGGGAGGCTGAGGCCAGGCCCAATGGACCTGTGTGCACCCCCTACTCCTTCCACTTCCTGTAGGGGGCGCCTCCTCCTCACCCCCGCATCTTGAAGCCCAGGTTTCTCTCGCTCACCAGAAGAGGGAGCCCTCAGCAAGGTCCTTCAGTTGGGGGAGAGGGTGGAGGCCTTTGTATTTGTTCTGCTTGGATTTGACTCTCCCCGGGTCTTACGATGCTAATTCACAATGAAACTTTTTCTCGCATTAACATATGGTCCTTGTATACTAGCCATGGACCATTTGGGGTCATCTAACCTTGGATGTCTAACTCTCTGACCTTAGGGGTCAACTCACTACCCCTCCCTGCACTGCCCAAATGACACAACTAAAGCCTAGAGAATTGTCTTGGGTCACTGACACTGCCTCATCCGTGTCCCGGTAATCGTGTGGCGTTGCTAGTGGCTCGCGGACCCAGACACACACTTGAGGGGCTCAGTCACTGACCCCTCTGTCCCTTGCCCCTGCCAGGTGACGAACGTGGATGATGAGGGCGTGGAGCTGGGCTCCGGAGTGATGGAGCTGACCCAGAGCGAGCTGGTGCTGCACCTGCATCGGCGCGAGGCTGTCCGCTGGCCTTACCTCTGCCTGCGGCGCTATGGCTACGACTCCAACCTCTTCTCTTTTGAGAGTGGCCGCCGGTGTCAGACTGGCCAGGGTGAGTACCAGCCCCTGCCCCACGCTGGGATGGGGACTTGTCCATGGGGAACAGGTTCTGTGGCCGGAAGTCGCAGCTGGAAGGTCAGTAGGGAAGTCTGTTGACTTGGCAGGTGTTGCCCAAAGAAGGGAAGGGTCATGGCCAAGGGCGAACAGAACTAAGTGGACTCCCAGGCCGGTGCTTCTTCAGTCACTGCGGCTCCAGCCTGGATGGCTTTGTGGGGGCATTTGTTGCACAACCCATGGGAAGCAGGCAGTGGTCCCAGGCAGTGCCTGCGTGGGAAAGCAAGCTCCTCCCTTTGTTACTCTAGTTTCAGGGTCCCTGTTGCCTCCTCAGTAAGAGCAAACAGCCCCACATCATATGCCCAGGTCCCTGTGTATAATGAAAGGTCAGGCAGGAGCACTCGCTGCCTTGGGCCTGTGCGGGGTGAGAATGATAAATTCGGAGAGGTCCACAGTGTACGGAGTAAACCTCATAAGGTTAATCTTTGTCTCCTGTCACCTGTGGGCAGTGGAGTGTGATATATTCAGCCTTCCTCCCCTTTCTCTCTGCAACTGGAGGTCAGGGAGGAGTGGGTTGTTCCATGATGTTAAGTCTGGGGCCAGCCATTGCTCTTTGAAGGGCAGACATGGTCTGGGCTTGTCTTTGAGCTGAGCTGCCAGAAGGAATCCCCCACGGGATTGTGTTCAGTGCATTGTGGGGCTGTGATGGCAGTGATGGAACTAGCAAGCTCCTCCGACAAGGCCACAAGCACAGCAGTGCATCTCTGTGGCTGCATTGGCCGGGGGAGCCCTCCCCTCCATGCACCTTACTGTAGAACTCAAGAGGCAGAGGCAGTTAACGTTGGCCGAGCAGCGAGAGGGGAGGAAGGGGCCTCTCTGCTCCTGGTAGGGTTTAATCCAAACTGGGGATCTCAGAGGAGCACCATAGATCCCAACACAGGGTTCTTCTAAAACTCCAGTCGTTCTCAGCCTTTTCTAAGCCTATCTTGTAATGAGATGTAATAGAACAGAATGAGGAAAGAATAGTCCTGTTTCTTCTCCTCCCTTCTACCCTTTTCATTCCATTCCTGCAGACCTGACACCCCAGCTTAGTTTGTCTTTGTGTGGATACCCACATGCACATCCCAGTTAGCTTCCCTGAGTCCTAGTCCCCATTGTTACAAAGGAGGATGCAGAATCCCAGGCTGGCCCAACACCCCAAGGACATCTTTGGATTCCTTGAGTCATGCATCCTCAGCCCAATCCTGCTGAGGACCATGCGTTGCTGCCTTGGAGTTTGAGGGGCTGTAAGGGTACCCGCATGGAGGAGCCACATTGGTTGCCATGCCATATTTGTCCTTTAGCTAGATGGCCCATCCTTCCTTTCTATACCAGAGTTCAAGCTCTGTGAAGTCAGAAGCCCATACACAGTAGTCACTCTCTGGCCAGGCACTGGGCTAAGTATACAGTGAACAGACAGTGAACAGGACAGACCCTCCCACCCTCAAAGAGCTTAGAGACTGTTGGGCATAGAGCTGAGGGCTGGGGCCCTGGCAGAGCTCTTTTTTTCTGGGGAGCAAGGGGTAGCAGGTGAGGTGGAGGGTCACTCATCAGACACCATTCTTTCCACTTTGATTTTTTACTTCACTTTCCTTCACCCCTGTGGACATACATCCTTATGAAAATGATTTAATCTCAGAGAAATATAGTTGAAGTACCAGATCTTATGGCTCAGACAGTAAAGAATCCGCCTGCAATGTGGGAAACCTGGGTTCGATCCCTGGGTTGGGAAGATACCCTGGAGGAGGGTATGGCAACCCAGTCCAGTATTCTTGCCTGGAGAATCCCCATGGACATAGAGGCCTGGGGGGCTACAGTCCCTAGAGTCACAGAGTCGGACACAACTGAGCGACTAAGCACAGCACACTAGATCTTAAGATGATGGTAATGGATGGTGTGTGTTGGGGGAGGGGAGTGAAGGCCTTGGGCCGGCTCCTCCCATGGCTCTTGGATGTTGGAGAGTGTGCGAAGAACAGTTGGTATGCTAACCCTAACCCCTCAGGCCTGGGACTGAAGTTCAGGGACATTTCCTGAACTCTGTGCATCCTTTAAGCCTCTCTGTTCCTCCCCTATAGGATGCAGGGTCAGAGGAGCCTCATTTCTTCTTCTCCTTCTTCAGGGATATTTGCATTTAAGTGCTCCAGGGCTGAGGAAATCTTCAACCTCCTCCAGGATCTGATGCAGTGCAACAGCATCAATGTGATGGAAGAGCCAGTCATAATCACCCGCAACAGCCACCCGGCTGAGCTTGACCTCCCTCGGGCCCCCCAGCCTCCCAATGGTGAGGAGACCCCCTCTCCTCAGCACCCCAATGCACACACAAGCATAGGTGCAGGGAGCGCTGGTCTTGGAGGCATGGGTCAGGCAGGCAGGTGGAGGGTGGCTGAGTGAGCCAGGCTTCCAGGACCATCATTCATCATTAGACAACTCCCAGGGATGGAGAAGTCCTGGCCTGGACCAATCAGGTGACTCAAGCTGAGGCTGGGAAGTCCAGAGCCTTGTATTGACGGATGGTCTGGGAGCAGACAGGAAGACATTGGGTTTCCATGGAAACGGCAGTGTGGAGCCGTTTTGCTTCCTTCCTTCTGTCTCCTGGGTCATACCCATATACCTTTCCTGACAGCTGGTGCAGCATCTCTGCCCACGGCTGTCTGGAGAGGTTCCCACAATTTCTGCTTGTTCATTCACTGAATCACACCGAACACCTGCTCAGTGTCCTGCCCTCCATCGGCTGGCCTGTGAGGGACAGAAGAAATAGACACACAGTCCTTGATTTTGAGGAACTTCCCTGGAGCTCACTGGCAGAGCTGGAATGAAGTGTAGAGTCAGTTCAGTGACAGCAAGGTGTGCCTTAAGTGTTTCAGATAAGGCTGTGATGGGGGAAGTGGCATTTAAGCTGAGCTTTCAGAGGAACGGCAGAAGTTGAAGATCAGACACAAGGTGAAGACAGTGGGGACTGCCAGTTCAGTGGGGTGGACCCGTGGGGACCCTGGGAGTGTCTCCCTGTGAGAGTCCCAGGCTGCCACACACATGGCTGCAGGTAGCTGCCAGGTGGTTTAAGGACCCCTTGTCTCTTGTGTGCCCAGCTCTAGGCTATACCGTCTCCAGCTTCTCCAATGGCTTCCCTGGCTGCCCAGGAGAGGGTCCCCGATTCTCAGCACCCCGGCGCCCTTCAACGAGCAGCCTCCGACACCCCTCGCTTGGTGAAGAATCCACCCATGCCCTCATTGCCCCGGATGAGCAGGTGAGCAAGTGGCTGCCCAGGGTCTTCCTGTTGGTCTGGTGGGGGTGGAGGATGGGAAAATACAGCACCTCCTCCCGGTGAGGCTCATGGGAGGGAAGAAAGTGGACAGGGCCCCTTCCTGTCCCAAGAAAAGGGAGTCGGCTTCCCTGAAAGGTTTGGAGGACAAGGAAGAGCAGACTGCAGCCCTTTTCCCACGTCCTTCTCTCATCCTGTCCCGTTCTGTGCTTCCTCCTTGCCCTTGGACTCTCCCGCCCTGGACTGTAACGCCCAGTCCCACACCTACGTCAACACGCCAGCCAGCGAGGAGGAGCAGCGCCGAAGCCGGCACTGCTTGCAGCCCCTGCCTGAGGGCCGGGCGCCCTTCGCGCCGCAGGCCCGGGGCCCCGACCAGCGGGACCCACAGGTGTTCCTGCAGCCGGGCCAGGTGAAGTTCGTGTTGGGCCCCACTCCGGCTCGGCGGCACATGACCAAGTGCCAAGGCCTCTGCCCGAGCCTGCAGGACGCCCCCCACCACAACAATAACAACGAGGGCCCTTCGGAGTGCCAGGCCCAGCCCAAGTGCACCTACGAGAACGTCAGCGGGGGGTTGCGGCCGGGCGCGGGCTGGAGACTGAGCCCGGAGGAGCCGGGCTGGAACGGCCTGGCCCAGCGCCGGGCTGCGCTGCTGCACTATGAAAACCTGCCCTCCCTGCCCCCTGTGTGGGAGAGCCAGGCCCCGCAGCCAGGGGAGGAGGCCGGGGATGACGGAGACTCCAGGGACGGGCTCACCCCTTCCTCCAACGGCTTCCCGGAAGGCGAGGAGGACGAGACCCCACTGCAGAAGCCCACCAGCACCCGGGCGGCCCTCCGCAGTCACGGCAGCTTCCCCGTGCCGCTGACCCGGCGCCGAGGCTCCCCGAGGGTCTTCAACTTTGATTTCCGCCGGCCGGGCCCGGAGCCCCCAAGGCAGCTCAACTACATCCAGGTGGAGCTGAAGGGCTGGGGTGGAGACCGCCCCAAGGGGCCCCCGAACCCCTCTGCCCCCCGAGCCCCTGCTCCCACCACTCACCCGACCCGAAGCTCAGACTCCTACGCCGTGATCGACCTCAAAAAGACCGTGGCCATGTCCAACCTGCAGAGGGCGCTGCCCCGCGACGACGGGACCGCCCGGAAAACCCGGCACAACAGCACCGACCTGCCTCTGTAGGGGCGCCCCTCCTCCGCCCGGCCCAGCCTCCGCCTCCCGCTCCCGTGCCCCAAACCCCCACTCCGGGGTTCGGGGCTGCTTCGCAGAAGGGCACTGAGGTGGGCCAGATGCTTTCCCCACTGGCCAGAGTCCCCAAAGATATCAGCCGCAGAGTCCCCCGGTGTCCGAGCTGGGGACAGGATAGGGTGACCAGGCGAGGAGGGAGCCGCGGTGTAAACTGTGAAGGGCCCCCCGACGGCAATTAGCACCCTCCCGTTCTGTCATCTGTCGCGTCTGTCGTCTGTGTGTTTTTTTGGTTGAAATTTGGAAACATTTTGTACCTGTTGATTTTATTTATCAGTTTATTTTTCTATTTATTGTTTTAAATGTAATTTAACATATTTATTATTAATATAATTATTTTTAAATTCTGACGTGGTGGATGACGTCACCTTTTTAGGGAAATTTTTTTTTCTGGCATGGTGCTTGGGTGGGAGTCAGGAGGCCTCACAGAGGTAGGGTCTTCACTCTAGGGTGATCGTGGGTTTTGTGACAAGCAACAATCATTTCTTTTTCTCCTCTAAGAAGCCCTGGCCCGGAACTGAAAGTTGCCAGGGACGGCTGCTCCGTCAAAGTAAAGTGACAGGACAGCTGGGGTCCTTGATACCCAAAGGGGATCTGTAAGAAAAACTACCCTGACCCTCTGAGGTTGTAGTCGGTGGGAGTGGAATTGAGGGGTGGGGTGCTGCACCATATTCACCTTCTCTGGACTCCCTCACTGAGTCCCCCTTCTGCCCCCAGGTGGATCCGATTGGGTACTGCCCTCCTTTCCCACCTTGGCCCCAAGGGGGACCCCGGATCTTCCTTCAGCGCCATCCACTTGGCAGGGTCAAGACTAGAACCTTTAAACAGGACTTTACTAAAAACCCAGGAATAGCAAAAAAAATTAAAAAGGGAAAAACAGTAATATAGAACTAAATAGTCAGACTTACAAAGTGTGACTTACCCAGGGAAGTCCTCCCTAGGAATGAGCTCTTTGGGGCATTTCTGACCGACTGCAGGGATGGGGCCCTCACAGAGCCAGCACATCCAAACTCCTGCCTGGGCCCCTCTGCCCGGGGCTGTGGTTGCAGAAGCTCCCTTTCCATATCCGGAGGCTGCCTCTTTCCTCTTCCTCCTCCCACCAGCCTCCCTGCCTCAAAATTTCCCTTTCTGGTTCAAACCCTTGAGTGGTATTTCTCCAGAAAATCCAGTGTCTCTAATGAGGCACTCAGGGCCCTGCGGAGGAGAGGGAGCAGGGTTTGTCCAAGCCTTGGGGACAAGCCTTCTTGTCTCTGGTCACTGTTTGTGCCCAAGCTCCCTGCCCTGTGGAGTGAGCAGACCTGTCCTCCACATCAAGGAAAAAGGCCAGGGCGGGGCCCGCCCGCCTCCCTCCCCTGCTGCTGTTCAACCACTGCCTGGGGCCTCAGTTCTAGAAGTGCCCTTTTCCCTAGCAGGAATTAGACCAACCAGCTTCCAGAACCCCCTGACCTTGGGTGTCCCTCTCTGTGCAGGAAATGGACAAAGAGAACTGGCCACAGAAGGCGTGAGAGGCCCTTCACCTGGGGCCCAGTAGGATCCCAGGGTGCGGCTGGCTCTGAACACTTCTTTACACCCTTTTGATCTCTGGACCGGAGGGCTCACCCACGGCAGGCTGGGTTTCATGCACTTTTCCCACACTGCAGTAGGGCAGTGCTGTCCTCTCTCTGCTGCTCACCCAGGCAGGCAGCTCAATTCTGCTTTCTCTGTGTCCTCCCACATGACCCCTGCTCCTCCTTTTGGCCTCCACAGTCAGGAGCAATGGACCCTTCAAACAGGATCACCAAGATTGGGGGGCAGACATGGCCGTGCCAGGACCAGGCCTAGGGCCCCTGGCTGTGCTAGTGACTCATGAGTGTGCTCAGGCCCCTCCTTACTCGTGAACTCTGTCATGGGGGAGTCAGGAGCCTGGCTTGAGTCGAGGCTGTGTTCTGGTGCTGACTTGGCTGTCATCTCCGCTCTTTTGAGCATTTGGTCACCCCAAGTAGGCCTTGGATTTGCCCTTGGAAAACACAGAGCTAATTGTGAGAAGTAGCTAATGAGATGAAGAAAATAGCGCCGCTTTGGCAAGCAGAGCCACCTGGGCAGGCTCTTGCCCCAGCCACTCCCCAGGGAACAAAAACCACTGGCCGTCAACTCTTCAGCCCCAGAGACCGACCTCAGGCTTGCTGCTGCTCCTTTGCTGAACAGCTCACTCTCAGGGGTGGCCAGGTCTTGGTCAGGCCCAGAGCTTCCCCCAGAGCAAGCTGTAATCACTCTAGTCTACATGTTTGTGGAGCATTGGGTGGGGGTCCAGGGCACATCCCAGGAATTGGCTCCCAGCCCAGTGTGGCCACCAAGCTTCCCTGTTCCCTCCCCAGGTCACTGCCTGTGACCCACGAGCCTGCGGCAGGAATTTTCCTCTGGTGTGGCAGGTGGGCTGTGAGTGGACAGCTTTCCTGGTGGGGAGGGGAACGCTGGGGACGGAGTGATGCTCAGGAGGGCAACTGCAGCTCCTATGTCTGAGCCTACCCTGCCAGTGTTCAGGGCGTGGTGTGCGGACCGAATCCTTTTCCATTGCCATCATCATCCAACCATCTCTATCAACATGGTGAATGTTTGCTGACTGCTCAATTCTCTTCTTTAGAATCAGGCCCTACCCACCCTCCGGACTGCCCTCAGGAAAGGACAGGAGCCAGCATCCTGTCCAGGAGTGACATTTCAGGTCAGACCAGGAGGGGCCCTCCCGGAGCCCACCCCTGGGTAATAATAGCACTTGACAACGGTATAAACATGGGCGGCTTATAGACGATTTATCTCTTTCAGCTCACTGGGCCGGATTGTTATCACTGCAGTGCAGAGGAGGAAACAGGTCAAGAGGTGAAGTGACTTGCCTGGGGCCATGGAGTTAATTAGTGGCTTGAGCGGGGGGCTGCCTGCCAGTCGTGTGTCTTTTCCAGGCCCTTCTCCCAACCTGGCCTGCAGGTGCTGAGTTTCCTCAGGTGGGCTGCGGGGCGAGCGTGTTGGGTGCTGCCCCAGACAGAAGCGGGCCAGGTGGTGGTGGGGGCCACATTCCAGTGTTCTCACTCAGGAATCCTTCTGGATTCCAAGCCAGGGCTTTGCCTGGCTGACAGCAAGGTGAACCTGCTTTCCCCTCGGGTTGGCCTGACGACCACCCACAGATCCTGCCTCTCTATTCTTTTATATATTTAAATTTTTAAAAAGTGTTTTTTAATTTATTTTTCTGGTTATACCTTGAGGCATGTAAAACTTCCCAAACAGGGATCAAACCTATGTTCCCTCCAGTGACAATGCAGAGTCTTAACCACTGGACCACCAGGGAAGCCTTAATGCCCCTCACCTCTTTCAGTGCCTTAGAATGGCTCCCATTCTGTAGGTGAGTGTGCAGAAGGGGCTTGAACTCTCTCACCCCCACCTCCCTCTCCTCCAGGCATCTCAACCCCACAAGAGGCTTGTCAGGTCAGGCCAGGACTCCCCTGGGCTCTGGGGGGTTCTCTGACCAACACCTTAAGAGGACTCATACTCCCAGGTGAAGGAGGGTTTATAATGAGGGATCCCCGAGACTCCAGGAAGGCCATGGGCGGCTGAGGCCAGGTTGAGAGGGCCTGGGTATACCCCTCAGGGTTCCATGTCTACAGAATCACAAAGTTAAGATGGAATCTTGTAGGTTGGCTAGGCTGGGACCCATCCGGTAGTCCCTTCGACAGGATTCCTCAGGATGCTTATCAGGTTTCTGGTGACACAGTCCCTGAATGGGGAGCTCACTGCTTCACAAGTCCTCTCTCCAGGCGGGTCTTAGGATGTCCCTAAACCATCCATCGCTGGGCCCTAATTCTGCTCACAGACCCACACACAGTTAAGGCTAGTTTCTCTGCTGCGGGAGCCTGAATTTTGAAACCTGGCCTTATTGCTTACTAACAACTTGACGTCTTCAGGCTTTGGTTTCCTCATCTGTGACATGGGGATTATAACAGTTCTTCCACCTTGAAACTGTGAGGATCAGCGAATTCCCTGGTGGTCCAGTGGTTAGGACTCCACCCTTTCACTGTCAAGGGTGTGGGTTCAATCCCTAGTCAGGGAACCAAGATCCCGTAAGGCATGCGGTACAGCCAAAAAGAAAGAAGGAAAGAAATTGTGAGGCTCAAACAGGAGACTGTCTTCCCAGCATGAGCTGTGGCAGCTGGCCCCATAGTAAGGGCTCAGTAAATGGCAGATGTTTTCATCTGAACATGATTCTTTCTGGCATAACCAGAAAGGTGTCTTCTGCTCTGTCCAGCCCTTTGTGCCCTAGTTTGACCCAAAACTACTGAATGCAGGGCTCAGGACTGACCTGCACCTTCCTTCACCCAATGTCATTGTTGTTCCAGATGTTACACCTCTGCCTGAGTTTGCACTCACTCCATGGGTCCTTCTTCTTCTTGGGACCTCAGAGCTGGCCTGACACCGGGTCTTTCCACACAAACATCAGCAGCTACCTAGATACTGGAGTCCTTGATTTGTTAAATCAAAGTCCAGACCCTCCTGCTTATTCAGCTGACATCTCTTGTTGTCCGCCTGTGTCTGTCCTGGCATCTAGAGGCACCAGCCCTGGCAATGGACCTGAAGGTGATGGGAAACCAGAGGTGGGGGGTGGGAGGGGATCTCCATGGGTGATGGATCACGAGGGGTCTCCACGGCATCTGGGGTTCTCAGCCTAACTCTTCTGGAAGCTTCACTCTTCCTGCCAGTGGTTGGTAGGAAGCCTTGACCCCACTTGCCTTGCTCACAGGTGGACCCCTCTCCTGGCTTCTCTGGGGATGGATATTCCCACCCCAGGGCCCCGTGGATGCTTGTGGACAGGGGCTGGGGAGGTTAGGAGAGTGAGAGCATCACTTGTGCTCCAGGCGGGTGCTGTCATTATGCTCATTCTTAAGGGGTTATTAGTATAAGGACTGCGCTAATGA